GTGCGGAGCTGGCCAATCAGGGGGCCCGGCTGTTGCGAACTCGGGCGCTCGCTTCTGGGCGACAGCTGAGAGGTGCGTGTCGTCGCTGGACCGCTGGACCGCGACCAACCGGGGCGGTGGCGCCAGTTGGGGGTCAGTCAGCGGCACTTGGGGACAGTTAATGGCAGTTGTCGGTCAGTCACCGGCAGTTGGAGACAGTGGCAGTTAGGGGTCCAGATGCCTAGAAGCCGGGGAAGATGCTAAATGCCTAGAAGTTGGGGGTCAGTCAGCGGCAGTTGGGGACAGTTAGTGGCAGTTGGGGGTCAGTCAGTGGCAGTTGGGGATCAGTCAGTGGCAGTTGGGGGTCAGTCAGCGGCAGTTGGGGTCAGTCAGCAGCAGTTGGGGACAGTTAGTGGCAGTTGGGGGTCAGTCTGTGGCAGTTGGGGACAGTTAGTGGCAGTTAGGGGTCAGTCAGCGATAGTTGGGGACAGTTAGTGGCAGTTGGGGTCAGTCTGTGGCAGTTTGGGACAGTCAGTGGCAGTTGGGGGTCAGTCAGCGGCAGTTGGGGTCAGTCAGCAGCAGTTGGGGTCAGTCAGCAGCAGTTGGGGACAGTGGCAGTTAGGGGTCAGTCAGCGGCAGTTGGGGACAGTTAGTGGCAGTTAGGGGTCAGTCAGCGGCAGTTGGGGACAGTTAGTGGCAGTTGGGGGTCAGTCTGTGGCAGTTGGGGACAGTCAGTGGCAGTTGGGGACAGTTAGTGGCAGTTGGGGGTCAGTCTGTGGCAGTTTGGGACAGTCAGCGGCAGTTGGGGGTCAGTCAGCGGCAGTTAGGGGTTAGTCAGTGGCAGTTGGGGTCAGTCAGCAGCAGTTGGGGACAGTGGCAGTTAGGGGTCAGTCAGCGGCAGTTGGGGTCAGTCAGCGGCAGTTGGGGACAGTTAGTGGCAGTTAGGGGTCAGTCAGCGGCAGTTGGGGTCAGTCAGCGGCAGTTGGGGACAGTTAGTGGCAGTTGGGGGTCAGTGGCAGTTGGGGGTCAGTCAGTGGCAGTTAGGGGTTAGTCAGCGGCAGTTGGGGACAGTTAGTGGCAGTTGGGGGTCAGTCTGTGGCAGTTGGGGACAGTTAGTGGCAGTTAGGGGTCAGTCAGCGATAGTTGGGGACAGTTAGTGGCAGTTGGGGTCAGTCTGTGGCAGTTTGGGACAGTCAGTCGCAGTTGGGGGTCAGTCAGCGGCAGTTGGGGTCAGTCAGCAGCAGTTGGGGTCAGTCAGCAGCAGTTGGGGACAGTGGCAGTTAGGGGTCAGTCAGCGGCAGTTGGGGTCAGTCAGCGGCAGTTGGGGACAGTTAGTGGCAGTTGGGGGTCAGTCTGTGGCAGTTGGGGACAGTCAGTGGCAGTTGGGGGTCAGTCAGTGGCAGTTGGGGACAGTTAGTGGCAGTTAAGGGTCAGTCAGTGGCAGTTGGGGGTCAGTCTGTGGCAGTTTGGGACAGTCAGCGGCAGTTGGGGGTCAGTCAGCGGCAGTTAGGGGTTAGTCAGTGGCAGTTGGGGTCAGTCAGCAGCAGTTGGGGACAGTGGCAGTTAGGGGTCAGTCAGCGGCAGTTGGGGTCAGTCAGCGGCAGTTGGGGACAGTTAGTGGCAGTTAGGGGTCAGTCAGCGGCAGTTGGGGTCAGTCAGCGGCAGTTGGGGACAGTTAGTGGCAGTTGGGGGTCAGTGGCAGTTGGGGGTCAGTCAGTGGCAGTTGGGGGTCAGTCAGCGGCTGTTGGGGACAGTTAGTGGCAGTTAGGGTCAGTCAGTGGCAGTTGGGGGTCAGTCAGTGGCAGTTGGGGTCAGTCAGCAGCAGTTGGGGACAGTGGCAGTTAGGGGTCAATCAGCGGCAGTTGGGGACAGTCAGTGGCAGTTGGGGGTCAGTCAGTGGCAGTTGGGGACAGTTAGTGGCAGTTAGGGGTCAGTCAGTGGCAGTTGGGGGTCAGTCAGCGGCAGTTGGGGACAGTTAGTGGCAGTTAGGGTCAGTCAGTGGCAGTTGGGGTCAGTCAGCAGCAGTTGGGGACAGTGGCAGTTAGGGGTCAGTCAGCGGCAGTTGGGGACAGTTAGTGGCAGTTGGGGGTCAGTCTGTGGCAGTTGGGGACAGTCAGCAGCAGTTGGGGACAGTGGCAGTTAGGGGTCAGTCAGCGGCAGTTGGGGACAGTTAGTGGCAGTTGGGGGTCAGTCAGTGGCAGTTAGGGGTCAGTCAGTGGCAGTTGGGGACAGTTAGTGGCAGTTGGGGGTCAGTCAGCGGCAGTTGGGGTCAGTCAGCAGCAGTTGGGGACAGTGGCAGTTAGGGGTTAGTCAGCGGCAGTTGGGGACAGTTAGTGGCAGTTGGGGACAGTCAGCGGCAGTTGGGGGTCAGTCAGTGGCAGTTGGGGTCAGTCAGCAGCAGTTGGGGACAGTGGCAGTTAGGGGTTAGTCAGCGGCAGTTGGGGACAGTTAGTGGCAGTTGGGGACAGTTAGTGGCAGTTGGGGGTCAGTCTGTGGCAGTTGGGGACAGTCAGCAGCAGTTGGGGACAGTGGCAGTTAGGGGTCAGTCAGCGGCAGTTGGGGATAGTTAGTGGCAGTTGGGGGTCAGTCAGTGGCAGTTAGGGGTTAGTCAGCGGCAGTTGGGGACAGTTAGTGGCAGTTGGGGACAGTCAGCGGCAGTTGGGGGTCAGTCAGTGGCAGTTGGGGGTCAGTCAGCGGCAGTTGGGGTCAGTCAGCAGCAGTTGGGGACAGTGGCAGTTAGGGGTCAGTCAGCAGCAGTTGGGGACAGTTAGTGGCAGTTGGGGGTCAGTCAGTGGCAGTTGGGGACAGTTAGTGGCAGTTGGGGGTCAGTGAGTGGCAGTTGGGGGTCAGTCACTGGCAGTTGGGGGTCAGTCAGCGGCAGTTGGGGACAGTTAGTGGCAGTTAGGTGTCAGTCATTGGCAGTTGGGGTCAGTCAGCAACAGTTGGGGACAGTGGCAGTTAGGGGTCAGTCAGCGGCAGTTGGGGACAGTTAGTGGCAGTTGGGGTCAGTCTGTGGCAGTTGGGGACAGTCAGCGGCAGTTGGGGGTCAGTCAGTGGCAGTTGGGGGTCAGTCAGCGGCAGTTGGGGTCAGTCAGCAGCAGTTGGGGACAGTGGCAGTTAGGGGTCAGTCAGCGGCAGTTGGGGACAGTTAGTGGCAGTTGGGGGTCAGTCAGTGGCAGTTGGGGACAGTTAGTGGCAGTTGGGGGTCAGTCAGCGGCAGTTGGGGTCAGTCAGCAGCAGTTGGGGACAGTGGCAGTTAGGGGTCAGTCAGCGGCAGTTGGGGACAGTTAGTGGCAGTTGGGGGTCAGTCAGTGGCAGTTGGCGACAGTTAGTGGCAGTTGGGGGTCAGTCACTGGCAGTTGGGGGTCAGTCACTGGCAGTTGGGGGTCAGTCACTGGCAGTTGGGGGTCAGTCAGCGGCAGTTGGGGACAGTTAGTGGCAGTTAGGGGTCAGTCAGCGGCAGTTGGGGTCAGTCAGCAGCAGTTGGGGACAGTGGCAGTTAGGGGTCAGTCAGCGGCAGTTGGGGACAGTTAGTGGCAGTTGGGAGTCAGTTGGCAGCAGTTGGGGGTCAGTCGGCAGCGAGGACATGTGGCGGCCGTTGGGGGACAGTGGCAGTTGGGAGTCAGTCAGCAGTTCGGGGACAGTTGGCGACTGATGAGGGACAGTTGGTGGCAGTTGGAGGCTGTTGGGATAGTTAGCAGTTGGTGGCAGGTGGGGGACAGTGGCAGCAAGGAGCCTTTTCCCGCTGGGAACAAGGGACAGAGCGCCCATGCGGCAGGTGGGGACAGCCCAAGCCCCGGGGCAGGGGAATTCTCGAGGTGCCTTAAGACGCTGCCTTGAGATTCCGGGTGCCCTGGGCAGCCTACCTGGACGGCGCCCTCCCGAGACCACCCCTCCTCCCAGCACCCCGCCAGGGCAGGGGAAAGTCAGTTGAGCAGAGGGGCAGGCGTTGTGGCCCCTCGTATTGGCCAGAGTGCCCCCTGTTTGGGGATTGCTTTGCCTTGAGGCCCCGGTGCCCCATGCCCTGCACGCCTGTGCTCCCCGTCTCATCTGCCTGGGCGGGGGCGTTTGGTTGGCATCACCCCTTCTTTCTACCAGGGGCTGCCGGGCCTCGCCTCAGTTGGCTGCAGCCCTGAGCCTCAAACCTCGAAGTTTGGCTTGCCCACACCCTGGCTGCCCTTCCGTTCCATGTTTGCTGTTGGGGCTTGAAGGTGGATGCGACTCTTTTATTCGATGTGTGGAAGACCGTTGTTTTTTATTTCCTCTTACAGTGTCACGGAAGCGAGTGAGTGAAGTCTCCCAGTTCAGGAAAAGGCGGAGAGGTGCAATTTGGTTCCAAGGTTAGCTTGTTTGAAGTGTTTTGGACAGGCTGGCGGGGCCACAGGTGCCCACCTTTCACACTGAAGGAGATGTATGTGCTGATGTGGTTGTTTTCTTGTCATTTTGAAATGTGGAGGAGGCTAAGGTTCTGGGGAGTACCGCTGTAAGTTTTTTATTTTAGACAGTTTCGTGTAAGTTTGGTTACAGCCTGATTACATGTCTGGTTAGTTTGGGGAGCCCTACCCGTTGCTGCTCAGGACTGAGTCCTGGCTCTGTGCTGAGGGGTCACTTCTGGCGGGTGTTCAGGAGACCGCATGCAGTGCAGGGGCTAGCCAGGGCCATCCAAGGCATTCGGCCTATCCCACTCTGCTCTCTCCGCCCCATAGTAACGTGTTGACTTGCACATTTCCATTGACTGACATGAGAACACTGCCTGTCCTGATGCCCTAAGCTAAGACAGAAACGGCCGTTTTGCCTAAATAAATAAATAAATAAAAATTTTAGTTGGAGATGGCTTTAGTTGGAAAAATGTTAACATGACAAAGTTGATGCCCTCCTATGTTGAAATTCTACTTATAAAGACTTATTTCACAGTTAATTATTCCTAATATTTCCTTTTAAGAATACTGAAAATTTTAAGTATTTTTAAAATACTTATAAGTGCCCAAGATTTATACATTGTTTTTGTTTTTTAAAATCAGATGTCTAAGAATAATGTAACTGACCAGAAGCTGAATCTGGAAGCAGTAATTAAGAACATTAACAGGATTTCATTGGAGTTGAAGAAAACGCAAGGTAAGTGTGTGAGATCACTGAAATATTTGCATGGCACTGTTAAACCAACCCAGCAGAGTCGATTTCTGCTTGTGCTGTACTGTAACTAACTTTTGCCCACCTATTAGGGTATATCTATTTTTAAATGCTTACAATACGCTGTAAATCTGTAAAGGTAAATTATGGCTTGGCCTGATTCAGTGAGCTGACTTGAATTCCCGTCCCTGACACTTAATAAGCTTATGCTGTTGTCTGACCTTCATTGATGTGCTTTCTTCTCTTTGACAAATGTCGTGACATGCCATTGTGCCAAACTCAGTCTTTATTCATTAATCTGTACTAATTTTCTTAAGTTCCTTTCACATCAAGAGTAACTTTCATCCTGTGAGTTACTGGTTTTTCATTTGAAACAGGTCCTTAGAGTAGAATTAGACCTTGCAGGCCATGATGTTTAGTCAGTCAGTCCTATCAGAGATGTATTCTTGCTAAATCATTACCCTAGGCTTATACACTCTGAAAATATTTCTAGGGACACTCTGTCTCTAACCCAGCATTCCTATGTTGGGGAACTCCCAGTACCCACTGAGCTCACCAGTCTGTTCCAGTTCAGTTTGATCTTAGGGGCAACTTGTGACTTGCTCTCCTGTTTCTTTCCCCTGGCTGCTGGTTTTATTTCTAACCTTGAAAAGTACACCCAGTAAGTTCTTTAACTGTTGGATATTTTTCTTTGTTTGGGGGCCACATGCAGCTGTGCTCAGGGCTTACTCCTGGCTCTGCACTCAGGGTTCACTCCTAATGGATTTAGGGGACCATATTGGGTTGCAGAGATGGAACGGAGTCAGCTATTTGCAAGGCAAGAGCCCTACCCACCATTCTATTGCTCTGGCCCTTGATTCTTGGACATTTGAAGGTTAACCCTGTCTTAGTTATGATATCTCGAACTAAAAGTAACAAAAATACCTACTAATGTGACTTAGTGTAAGGGAAATAACAAGATCTGAGGGAGGCAACTTTAAAGTCAATGCAGACACTGCATCGGCTACCAGGGCCTTTCCATTCCTCTGCTGTTGGAGTCACTGCCAGCAGGCGTGCCCGTGCAGAAGCATGCTGTGTCTCTTTAAACAAGCCATTCTGCAGATCCTTCCAGAACAGTCCCCGTTGCCTTTCATTGGCCAAATTGGCATCCCTTGACACGTCATGTGCAGCCACTGCAGAGGGGAATGAGAGAGCCAAGACCCTTCTGGACCAGTCAGGGTTACTGCAGCAACTGGGGAGAGCACCTTGTGCTTACTGCCTTTCCGCATTACCGACCATTCTTTGTTGGTTGTTTACTTTTCCCCCCCTATTCAATTGTGAATTTCTTAATGTGTGTTGATGTGACAGATTCTTTGAAATGTTAATGAAATGGGTAATTTGTTTCAGATACTTGCTCTCATTTTAAACAATTAGAGAAGTTTTTCTGACCCCTCCCATACTTGATTATCTAACTGTTCTAGTTTGGGGATTGTTCTGTAAAATACTATGATAGAGGTATCTGGAACCTTGTGGGATTAGTTGGACAGGTTATGGGGCCCTTGAAGAGTTAGAGCAGGAGGGTAAACGTCTAGTGAATGTGATAGATTAAACGCAAACCCTTATTTAACTGTGGAAGATGAGTGTCAGGAGTGAAAACATACTGGGGCTGAGGATGTGGTTCAAGTGGAGAAAACACCTGCCTTACAGGTACGAGACCCTGGGCTCAATCCTTGGTACCACAGGGCCCCCTCATCACTGTTGGGAGCAGCCCATTCACCAGCTCCCCTCCCCTCCCCACACGAAAAAGAGCATGCTCTATCTAGTCTTCCAGTAATTCTACATAAATTAAATCAGTTATCCTAACAACCCTTGGAAGTAGGTCCAGATTGGAGGAGATTCAGTGGCCCTAGTAGAGGTGAGACTTTGAACAAAAAAGTAGATAAGGAGCGTGGCTATGAACATTTACCCAACTAGAGGAAGTTTGGGGCAGAGGCATCACAATTCAGCAATGGAAAAGAATTGACTAAGTCTGGGTATCAGCTGACATGAAGGGGAATGTCATCTGCTGTGAGGGTAATTGTATATAAAAGTTAAAGTCGAGTATATTGGAGGTTGGGCAGTGAAAGGAGCTATACATTAATCTTATTTAGAAACAAAAGATAAGTAAACTTGAAAAGATAAAATATGTATGTCATTTAGAAATTTGGAGGTAAATACCCTGCTCCCCCAAACAAAAATGCTTAGCAGAAACACACAGAATGAATTATTTTTTAAGTGTTTGCCTCTAGTAGGTGAGTTTTTTTTTGCTTTCCTTATTTGATTTTCTATATTATGTATTGTGTAACAGATAAAAATAGTTTAAAAGATATAAGTCAAATCTGAATAGACCAAAGTGTAGGAAGATAAATGACAGACTGGGGACTAAATAACATTCCTAGTAAATTTTTATATCGTGCTTATTTTTGTGGCAAGTGAATATGACTGTTTTGACATTCAATTAAATTGATAATTTGAAAGAAAACTAAGTGAAGAGTGAGAAAGTTGCTAGTTACAGTTGCCTGTGACACATGTATCTTGTATTTTGTCTCACACAGAGCTCTCCCAGCTTCTCCTTTGTGACCTCACCCTCTATTTTAAATGTCCAGGGGACACAGATGACTTAAAGGAAACAGAAAGAAACGAGCCCCTCTTTGAAGAGCCTAAAATGTCAGATGTGTGCCGTGCTTCCAAAAGTTTTTCTAAATAATATTTGTTTGTTTTAAAGTTATAACTGTTTATTTGTTGAATTAACACATTATCTGGGAGAATTGAGTTTACTAATGTATTTAGTATAATAAAAAAATATGTTGGGTAGTAGTCCTGCCTTGGTCAGCATTATTCCCCTCCCCCACACCGTGGTTGCTGTCACTGTGTGTTGATGATAGTTCTCACGGGCACCTGGCTATAGTGCTCACAGACGTTTTTCCTCACGGGGCTTGCTGAGAAGGGGGATGGTGTCACAGGTTGTGGTGCTTGCACGTCGGGTCTTGGTGCTCCTCTAATGGTGTTGCTTTCACAGTGCTCACCGGGTTTGCATTCAGTCCTGGTCTTGCACATCCTGGTGGTAGTGCTTGCTGGGGTCCCTGCAGTGCTCACAGTTCCTGTCCATGGAGCTTGCATAGGTTTCGGTTGCATGCTCGCAGGGTTCACAAACCCTTGATGCGGAGCTTCCACAAGCCCGGGTGCAGACTAACAGCACTTGGGGCTGGGGATTCACAGCAGAGCAGCCAGGATCTCTCTTAGCAGCACATGTGGCGGCATTGGTGTTCAGCTCGAACTCAGACAATTCCCAGGCTTAGTTCAGAGCAGTGAACTATCCCTGTGGACCCCACTCTTGAAGGCAGTTTCAGTGTTGCAGAGAAGGGCCCGTTGCTTTCAGTAACACAGGCTGCCCTGGGAAATTGGCTGGGATGTACCGCTTGTCCTTGTCTGCAGCCTTCATTCTTCCACCTTTCACTTGTGTGCTTGGCAGGTTCTGCCTACGGTTTCTGGGAGCGCAGTTAGAACCAGGGTGGAGGCCAGCGCTGCCCAGCCCCCTCACCTGTGGACTGCCCCATCTGTGGGCTGCTGGTCGACAGCAGCTACTTTAGTGTGTGCTCGCGTTAGCTTAGGCCAGAGGAGAGTTATTTATGTAAATGGATGGTATGAGCCTACAGTTTTATTCATCCATTTCTTAAAGGTAAAAGGTAAAGGCCCTCCCGTTGATCATCGATTTGCTCGAGCGGGCCCAGTAATGTCTCCATTGGAGACTTTGTTGTTACTGTGTCTGGCATATCGAATACTCTCGGTAGCTTGCCGGGCTCTCCGAGAGGGGCGGAGGAATCGAACTCGGGTCGGCCATGTTGGCCGCTTGTAAGGCAAACGCCCTACCCGCTGTGCTATCGCTCCAGCAATTTCTTAATAGACATTATTAGACATCTTAATAGACATCCATTTCTTAATAGACATTAAATGCAAATTCATTTAAAGTACCTTTCCAGATAAAACAGTAAAAATGTGTTCCTCGCACCTTATCCTGTAGGAGTATCACTCATCCCTGTTCTCTCCCCAGAGGGGGAGTGGGGGCGCCCAGTTTGACCACTTCACCGAGTGACAATGTTCCTGTCAGCTTTGCTTTGGAAGATGTGACTAATTTCAGTTTTTTGTTTGTTTGTTTTTTATCAAGAGAGTCTAATTTTTTAATGCTTATAGTTTCTTACTGGTACTTATGTAGGTGCCCTGATTTTCACAAAGCTTTTTTAATAGCAATTTTCTACATTCAGTGATTCCTCTTCAAAGCCACCGCCATGCCAGCAGCCTACTACTATCTGTGACCCAGGGCTCCCTGTCTCTCCCTATCCTGCGTCCTTAGCGAACTTTAAAATCTGCTCTGGTCAGATACTTATGATAGTGTTGTGTCCTATGGTTTTGATGTGCATCATAACCTCATCTCCGAGTTGCCAAATTGTCCAAGGCCCGTGAGTCCACCTCCTTGCTCTCCTCTCCCATTTCTCCTTCCTTCACACTCTTCAAATTGTAGCCAGAGTCAAGGACTCTTGTCGTTTGATACCTTTCATTCTTGTTACACTCTACACATTAGTCAGGAACAGAGTTTTTATACCTTTGACTGTCCTCATCGTGCCCTTCAGTTCCATCAGGTTCGTCTTGCGGCTGCATTGTATTCCACTGTACATGTCACATACTACAACTTGATCGTTTTCCCTGCTGCTGAACAGCTGGGTTGTTTCCAGATCCTGAATATTGTAGTAAGCATTGCAGTGAATATAGGCAAGCATGTATCTTTCACGTGAATGTTTTTGTGTTTTGGCAGTAGATGCCAAGAAGTGCATAGGGTCATAATGGAGCTCTCTTCTTAGTTGTTTTTTTTTTCTTTTTCTTTTTGAGAAATCCTCACACTTTTCCAAAGAGTTGAACTGACAGCATTCCCATAAAGCAGTGAATAGGAGTTGCAAGAGTGCCTTTTTTTTTAAAGACCATATCCCCAGCAACACTGGTTGTTTCCCGTGTTCTTGGCAACACGATAGTCTCGCTCCTGTGAGAAAACTCATTGTCCTCTTGTTTAGGATCCCTGAGAAAGTGACAAGCACTTTTCCAATATACTTACTGGCTGCCCACATGTGCTGTCGTAGTTGAATCTCTGTTCGTCTCTCCTGTCCATTTCTGGATGGGGTTATTGGTTTCTTTGTTGCTGAGCTCTATGAGTGCTTTATAGATACTGAATATTAGTGGTTTTTTTCTGATATATTGTGTGCCAATATCCTTTCACATGCAATACGGTGTCTTTTATTTTAGCCCCAGTCTCTTCTGCCATGTAAAGTTTTTTTATTTTGATACAGTACCATTTTTTATGGTATCTTTTCCAATAGAATTGCATCATCGAAAACATGTTTGAGGTCCAGATTCTGGACTGTGTTCTAATGTTTTTCTCAGTGTTTTTTTTAGGGATTTTAGTCTAGTAAATATGAATTTCTGGTTGTAAGTACTGGAGGTAACTCAAGCTCACGGGACTACTTGGATGTGTAACAGGAAGACAGGTGGGAGCAGACTTCAGGGGCGCTGCCAGTGCATGGTGTGGGGGATCCTTGTTCCCTTTCTCCGCATTAGCTGGTGGAAGAAGGCTATAGGCATGCCGGCAGGCAACTGCAGCACTTCAGAGTCATCAGCCTGGTCTGCTGCCGAGAGGAGTTATGACTGTCAGCCTTGGGTGGACTTGTTTATTCCTGAGCAGTATCCTGAGTAAATGTCACTGGTGACATGGGGGCCCCAGAGAAAAAGCCTGATATATCAGATCCCCCCACTGTGTCTGGCACAGCAGTGGCATAGCTTTCCTCTCTAGGATACCTTTATTCTAAAGTTTTCTTTCCTCCAAAGAACATTTACGAAGCTTTGGGTTTGCTCTATGCACATAACTCCCTGCTGTGTGATAGCTTTGAAATCTGCTATGAATGTCATTTTAGATATTTTTGAACAAAAACTCATAAATGACATAAGGTCAGCTGACGCTGTTACCGAGAGTTTGCTCTCTTCAGACAAAACACCTTGGCTTCTCAATAATTAATTGCTTCTCAGTAAATGCTTATTGAAAATTCTGCTAAAAAAAACATACAAATTAATGCAGGGTGATTTTATTCTCCCAACTTTAAATGCCTAAGTTCTGGGGCCAGAGCGATAGTACAGTGTGTAGGGCCGTTTGCCTTGAACGCAACTACCCGGGTTTGATCTCCAGCGTCTCATAGGGCTCCCCGAGCATTGCCAGGTATGCCAAAAAGACAAATAAAAAGTCCTAAATTCTAAACCCTAAGTAGGGAATAATCTGGGAAAAAAGGATGATACTTTTTGGGAGAATCTGTTTTTTAATCATCATTGGTTAGAAGTCTACATGTACTTCTTTGCCACTCAGAAAATTTGTATATTTAGTAGCACTGTAGCACTGTCCTCCCATTGTTCATCAATTTGCTCGAGCGGGCACCAGTAACATCTCCATTGTGAGACTTGTTACTGTTTCTGGCATATCGAATACCCCACAGGGAGCTTGCCAGGCTCTGCTGTGCAGGTGGGATACTCTTGATAGCTTGCCGGGCTCTCCGAGAGCGATGGAGGAAACGAACCCAGGTTGACCGCATGCAAGGTAGACGCCCTACCTGCTGTGCGGTCGCTCCAGCGATTTAGTAAAAAACTTAAGTTTTTGTTAATAAACTATTTGAATTTATAACCAAGTCCTCCAAAAGCAAACGCTTGATGAACAACCGAGTGTCAGATTTTTGTTTTGCTTAACTTCTACTCCTTTCTGTTATGTTGAGTGAATGTTCTGGATTGCCGAAGGGTTACAAAGGCGCTCAGGGAAAGATGAGGAGTAGGGCTTGTGCCAGAGTCCTAGGAGGATAAAGCAAGAAGGGGGAAAAGAGGGAGCCTGCTGGGAGCGGTGGGTCAGATTTCTCAGCCATAGCCATGCTTTTCCATCGCTCCAGGAGGAAGTCAGCCATGTCTGCAGAGCATGACAGCTCCTTGGAACTTTGGTGGGTGTGGGCTTGCCTGGGAACTTTCTGGTGTGGAGATCCAGGTGGATATTTGACACTGAAGTCTCATCACTGAAATGTTTTCTTTTGGGCACTTTATGGGGTTATATTTGCTTCAAAATAATAACAATAGTATGGGCTGAGCAACATCAGTAAAATAATATAACTCTTAAATCTGAAGACAAATTAATTTTAATCCCAGGAAGTTAGTCCAAAACTGATTTATCTTTTCATAAAAAAATTATATAAAACATATCCTCAGCAAAAAGCACCAAATAAGAAAGGCTAAAATATTTTTGAAGCCTCTTAATTTTGTTATTGTTGCTGAGAAAATTTAGTAACTTTCTTACAGATATAACACTGACAGTTGTGTTTGGCAAGGTTTTACTCTAATAAAAATCATTTTATATAATAGCATAAATGGTTTCTGTTTCAGCATCTCTTAACCATATAAGTAACCATGTAAGTAACCATAAAAGTAACCCAAGTTACTTAACCATATAAACTACTATTTGAAATGGTTGTTCAAAAATGGACAGTAAAAATTTAAAAAAAAAACACTTACTATAGTATGTTATAGTAATGACATTCACGCCTACTCGACTTAAGCATGAACATGAATTACTCATGGACTTCATATTGAAAAAGAATAAGTTATGGGATACTTGAGAGTCTTCATTTCAAACCATTTTTTGAAGCCATAAACCATTATGTTTATGTTGAAGGATTCAGTGCAGTTCGGAGTGTTTGTTTGTTCACCAGGGTTGATCGTCCCATATTGACAACAGAGGCGGGAAGGGTTCTTTGCGCCGCTGGCTCACTAGGGATAACCTGCAGAATACGTCAGTGTGCACTGGTTTCTGGAGTCTCGGTTTTGCCCATCAATGAGCAGAAGTGGCATTTTCCTGAAGTAGTCGATAATAGCCGACACAGACAAAAAGTCCTGAAAGATTCCAAATGGGACAAAAGTAAACAGCATGAATTCCACTATTTTGAAATTTATATAGAACATCTCTTCCAAGTCCTCAGGATTTGGGGGAAATATGTAAAATTAGACAAGCACTTTGATGATTTCTGCTGTAGAATTTGGAAAATAATTCCTTGGGACTATTGAGCAGACTGCTTCAAATTTACACACAATTTACGGTACACATAGGCAATTCACCGTAAATATCCCAGTTATGTCAGTCTTGCCTTGGGGCTCACGCCCTGTGTTTGGGGTGCAGTTTGTGTAACCTACTCTGCAGTTGCGTGATGAGAGATCCCGAGGTGGGTTCGTCTCCCTGCTGTGGCAGGAGCTTGCACCTCAGTGCTCTGTCCCCATGCTATCCCACTCTCTCCCAGTCGGCAGCCTCGGTCATCCTGCCCTGATGGCCTGAGTAGGAAAACCCCCATTCCTGACCCTTTGCCCAGAGGGCCAGAGCAGTATCACAGCTGCTAGAGTGTTTGCCTTGCACACGGCTGACTCAAGTTCCATCCCCAGATGATCCCCCAAGACCATCAGGAGTGACCCCTGAGTAAAGAGCCAGGAATAAGCCCTGAGCACACCTGGGTGTGTCCCCTCAGCTCCCTCAAAATTTTTTAAGTATTTAATCATAACAGTCCCATCTTTTACCATTTTCAGGTGTTGACTTAAAAGTCTTCACTACTCTGAGGTTTTGTTTAAATTGTCATAAATGATAGAAAGAATTTACCTTTGACACCATCTGACTGGAGTTTTTAAATGTGTTTGAATATTAACTATTTTTCTGATCTTGAAAGTTATTTCTGTGGTTTTAGATTATTTGGAATAAAAGCTATGCAAAAGACTCCTATGGCAGAGACTGGCCCTATTGTATTCACTTTGCTTCCTGTGACTCATGCAATCAAACCTTCAAGTTGTCATGCACCAGAATCCTGAAGAGCAACAGCGGAGTCCATGTAGATAGGTATGCAGAGAGGTATAAAAAGAGAATCTGTGGGGAATTTTGCAGCTAGAAGGTCCTTACCTCTTTCCCTCGAAGACCAGTTCCCAGCAAGTAAACTTGATTTTCCTCCTGGTAACGAATCTTGATGTTGTAAACTTTGCCTTTGTACAGTACCATGAGGACATAGGGGTTGCTTATTGTTTTGTTAGAGCTGTCTCTCACCAGAAAAGTGCCATCCTGCAAGGACAAATTCTCGTTATTAAGGGAGAGTAAAGGCCAATACTTTTGTCGTCTCTAAGAGCAGCAGGCAAGGCTGTGAGGCTCTGGGAGCCTAATCAGGTGACAAGTCGTGGGTACTCGGTTCCTCAAACAGCTTCGGGTCCCAAGTGCCATGGATTTCTTAGTTGTCAAGAACCAGCGAGCAGAGATTTTATCAGGAAAGAGTACAAGTCACCCTCTTTGAAGTCTCAATGAACAAAAAGGAATTGCTTTTCCAAGGATAAAATAATAGGCAGCTGAGTAGATAAAGGACCAGACAAATAAGGACTTTATTAGAGAAGGGTTTATCTTTCTCTTCCTGAGATAAAATTCCCAGCTCTTTATTTCCACCCCCAAGTCAGAAATCCCCTAAATGCTTAAGAAATTCACTTGTCTTAAATCTCCAGAGTGTTTTGTCACCATATACATATTGATTAAATGTGGATTTTTTTATCACCATATTTACTGAAATACTATGATCTGTTTCGTATTTTTAAAATTCATTCTGTAAGTTATTGCTCGATAGTAGTATGACTGCAAATGTCTAAAACTGAAATACAATTAAAAGGATGTACTTAAACCTACTGCCTCTGCTCTGAATCTGGATGGTTCGACAAAACCTTCTGTCTGAAAATGGCTCTCCTTTGACTTTTTTTTTGTTGAGTCATTGTTTTGGGGGCCGTCGCCAGTTTATACTTAGGATTAACTCCTGCACCAGAATCCTGAAGAGCAACAGCTCTGTGCTCAGGGGTCACTCATGGCAGGCCTCTGGGGACCATATACAGTGCTTGGTCATTTGATCTTTTTATTTTATATATTTATTTTGGTTTTATTTTGGTGCCACACCGGTGGTCTTTCAGGGCTTACTCCTGACTCTACATGCAGGGATACTTCTGCAGGGGGTCAGGGGACCATATGGATGCTGGGGATCCAACCCAGGTTAGCCACATGCAAGGCAGCTGCCTTCCTGGCTACAACCTTTTTTATTATCATTGAGTAAACTCTGGGAAACAAACATTCCCATTCTTGAGTAACTTTAGAATCACCCACCAGTGCAGTTTACGAGACTTCCAGAAAATCTTTACAGCCTCTAGAGATGAAACTCAGAAATCAGAGTTCTATACAGCTCCTCTGTCGATTTCAGTGCTGCTGAGGTCAGAAACTCTATTATTGACTCAAGGAGTGAAGGAAGAGAGGAGCGTCTCTTCTCTCTACTGTAAGGATTCAGCACTGCGCCACAGGAAATCTGGCCATTGAGACCTCTACTCTTAGAGGACAGCTAGAATTCTCTATGGAAAGTGCAAAAACAGTTTCTGGCATTTTTCTGCATATGGGTTCCTTCATACTGACGTAGATGGCAACTGTGTATTGAGGAAGATGAAAATTTGGGGATGAGTCTCCTTTTACCATTGTATAATTCCTATGACAAGATGAACACTTTCTGTTAATAAAATATAGGATTCTAACAGTCTTCATTTAGACTTTCCAGGACTTGCTCTGATTGCTGTAAGTGGGAGTTGGTGGTCACTAACCAGTCTCTCTAGAGTAAGAGCACACATGTCACTTCCAAGACTCCTGGTCCATAATTGGTTCCAAGAAAAGTCAGCTCCCTTTTCGCCTTCCATTAATATTTATAGCTACACAAAAATAAACTTTAGCATAGTACCTGGTTTATCTTTCTAAGAGCAGCTTCTGCTTCCGGTCGGGTAATATAAGAAACGTACCACTCTTGGTTCAATGAATCCTGAAAATGTAGGTTTAAAAAGCAATCAATTTTGCAGTTACATATATGTGAAAAGAAAAGTGATGACTCCAAATAATGACTTCCCATTAAAAAGCATCTCAAGTCCATGAAGTTTGAAATATCTGTTTTCTTTTTTTTTTTTTTTTTTTTTTGGGTAACACCCTGCCATGTTCAGGGGTTACTCCTGGCTCTGTACTCAGTAATCACTCCTGGCAGTGCTCAGGGGACCATATGGGATGCTGGAAATTGAACCCGGGTCAGCCTTGTGCAAGGCAAACACCCTACCCACTGTGCTATTGCTCCAGCCCCATATCTGTTTTCTTATTTGAACATAGACTTGTTCCAGTCGAGCTTAACAGAAAGCATCTGGGCACAGCCCATTTGATCTTAACAGGAACTGCCCAGGTAGCACTGGATCCTCCAGTAATGACTCCTCGAATCATAAAAAATAAATGGGTTGCAATTTCATTTAAATAATGAAAAACGTAATGAGCAGTGCACATACACTAGGAAACAGATGGAAATGGGATTATTTTTCTTGTTAAAGGGGGAAAAATGAAATAGCCTTTAAAAGCAACAAGAAGAAACAATTTTCATCTGAATCCATCCTTAACGTTTTTTCACCGAGAGACAGAAATTAAGGCCAATAGATGATAAAATGATAGATAATAGTTTCCAGTGGAATTCCTGGTGATTTATTTTCTGGGAAAACAATGGACAGATGCAAACAAACTTTCTCACCTCTTCCCCAGGGGCTGGTGGCCGGGGTTTGCTGGGAACGGGCCTGCTTTCCGCTCGCGGAGGGGGCCTTCCGCCCGGGCCTTGGGGGAGACGGCAGTGTGTAAGTTAGCATTCATTTTCTCCTAGCTCCCAAGTGCCCTTGCAAGCATTCCCAGCAGGTAGAACTCAAGAAACGGCTTTCAAACTTAATTTTTTTACATGTTTGAAATGACAAGGACTGCATGGAAACCATTCTGAGTGCAGTTCTGAGAGCAGCCCTGCCACGTGGAGTGAATTCTCAAACGTGCCTGTTGTATTGGGCAACTAGATCCATTTATGAAATAAGCCACAGTCTCTACAGCAGCATCACTGAAGAGAATATTGAGCAGCTGTCAGTATTCGCTACTGAAGTTTCGCTGTTCAGCAACAGTGATATTCGCCAGCTTCTGCTCATGGGCAGAGGGAGTCTTCCAGGGGACACTGAGGGATTTTTTTTCCTGGAAAGTTGGGGAATTAGTTTATTTAATTATCAATACATTAATAAATTATTAATTTAGCCAGATTAGTTGGGCAATCTCTGATCTAAACAAATCATGCTTTAAATTCCAGGACCTCAACTTTAACTTGTGGTTCTCAGGTAGCACCCTTCGAAAAATACAATTTCTGGGGCCGGATAGTATATCAGATAGTGTTTACAGTGCTCATGGCTGACCTGACCCAAAATTCAAAAATAATAAAAGGAAGTGTTTCTGGAGGCACCCAGGGCAGGGACAGGCACGTTGGCAGCTTGCCGCGCTCTCACAGGCGTTCCTCAGCCCTGCTGGAGCACGGGTGTCTCCCGCGGGGTCTCCCTCTCGCCACGCTGGCCCTGAGCTGCGCTGCCCTTTTGCAGCTTCTCAGTGCCACACACATGCCAGGTCTCACCTTTTCGGTCCAATAGGATCTTTATAGTGTTTGTTGGCCGAATGATACCTAACATTAGGAAATTGGTATAATGGGGGCATAGGACCAGAGCAGTTTCCCAAAGGAGAGTTCCATGGTGGCTGATGTATCCTCCCGTCATTCCTACAGCCCTTAGCACCCGGCTAAACCCAAGGGAGTGCTAAATGAGGAAGTAGATGCTTTTCAGGAAACAACCAAATCCTTGCCCAAAGGCTTTGGATTGCCAGGTTAAGTAATCCAGACATGAAGCATGTGCCCAGCCCAGAATACGCACCTTGAGAGAAATACGGCGGCAAGGAGTTGCTGTGCTGGAAGTGACTGAGGAGAGAAGGCAGAGTTGAGTTTGTTTGTGCTTAAGGGGCCAGACCCGGAGGCTGCTTCAGGGAAACTTACTGAGCACAATCATGGCTCCCTTTCTCTCAGGGGCACGTTCCATTACCCCCATGGACACGTGGAACCCCATGGCACTGATCCCTGTGTCTACACTTTGGCTGTGAACTATTTGATATTACAAAGTAGCTGAGAAGACAGACGCAGTGGGAGGTGAGAAACAATAGTAATTCAGTGGAACAGTTCTCGCCAGCCACTGTGTGCGTCCCGTCGCTTTAGCCTGTCTGTTCTCTCCCGCGGTGTTTCTGGCTTGTAGTTGAGAGTAAGTGGAGCCTGTGAAGCAGGGAGACAGTTGTCACTCTCACACAGCCTCGCGACCGTGCAGAATTCAGCTGGTGGGACACACTTTGTATTTCAGCTTAACGAAACACAAAACACGGGGAGGGGCAGGACAAAGTGACTTCAGTAGATGGCATCTCAAAAACTCAAGTGAAAAATAAATGCTAGCTGTTAGGGAGGCCTTTGGTTTGGAGCCTGGCAGAAATCCTGCAGGGAGAGGTCTTTATTGCCTGAGGAAATCACCTCAGGGCTCGTTGGGGAGAGCAAGCACCAGGGCCTCGTGGCTAAGGCTGGGGTCTCACCCTTGTTACCCCTGTGGAGTGGCGCTGTGCCCCTCATGGAGATTCACTGTCAGTTAAGTGGCAAGGAGTTGCATAGGATGCACAGAACAATTCCGTGTAGCAGTCCCATCCATGAACCAGAAACATGAGAATCGTTGACAACACAGTCAAAGAAGGATGAGAGAGAGAGAGAGAGAGAGAGAGAGAGAGAGAGAGAGAGAAGGAAAGAGAGAAGAGAAGAGCGAGAAGAGAAGAGAGAGTCCCAACATCTGTGGGACTGGTGTGTGGGTGGGGGGGGGGGGGGGAGACGCAGGAACACTGCTCAGTGCCCAGCAGCAGTTTCTGTCAAAGTCAGCTCTGCTCGGCAGTCTCAGGACTGGGATTTGAAGACAGTGGGGGACAGGGCTGGGGTTCAACGTGAGATGAAGCAGCCAGAGGGAAAGGCAGACGGCAGAAAACAAGAATCAGCTGCAAGACCCAGAAGCAAAAGCATAACATGGGCCCGAGAGGCACCCAGGGAAATGAAAAGGGAACAGTGAGAGGGAGGGGGAGGGAGGGAGAGAGAAAGAAGAGGGAGAGGGAAAGAGCGTGTGTTCCTGTAGACATTTGGCTGGGAGCCGGGTCTGCTGGAGGGGACTGGGCTCCCTTTGAACACTGAAGATGATGAGCCCCGAAGTTGGGAGAGCTTGGGGCACCAGGAGGCACCTGTGGGCACACCCAGGGAGAAGGAACCAAGGGTTGGTCCCCTCGGGGCCTCATGGTGGGCGCCAAGGAGCCCGAGAAAGCACGCCTCAGGGGCCAGAGCCTGTGCAGAGGCTCTCAGTGGCTAAATGCAGCCACAGACATGGGCTGTTTCAGGGGAGCCTAGACCACCACGTCAAGTGGAGAGTTCCTACAGCGAGTCCCGGCCCATCATTTTGGGGAGTCCAGTGCAGAGAAAGGTTTCCGCTGGCCTGTGGGCCATTAGGTGTGCAGTTGCTTTATGTCTCCAACATGGTTGTAAAATACTTAAAAATGCTGTATGCAGCAACTCTTGAGTCAAGTTTAAGTTGACAAGAGCAAAATAATAATAATAATAATAAAGATGCTTTATGGCCAAAAAGTTAGATAGCCAGCGTCTTAGACTTCAGAGAAAGAATCTTTTGTAGGAGAAAGGTCTTGGAGGAAAAGGCAATATCTGCAGAGCACAGTGAAACAAAGCACAGCAAAACCAGGCGTGGCTGCATTGGACTGGGTTCCCAGCTCCGGTTCTAAGTGCAGCCCTTCCCGCTCTTCCCAGCAGGGCCCTTCTGCCGGAGGCGCCCGGCGCTCAGCACAGCTGGGACGGCAGCGAGTTTGCCAGGTCGGCCAGTTATGCTCAGCTTTGACTGTTGCCTTAAGACTCAGCGTGCTCTGAGCCCGCTCTCACAGGCTCTTCCTTCCTCCCCACGTGGCCCCAGCCTAGACTGCGTGTCGGTAACGTCGGGACTCAGCACAGACCTTTCCGAGAGCGCTGCAGGCGTGTGCGCTGCGGGGAGGGAGAGGTTGGAGCCTGCCTTAGTATACCTCGAAGGAAAAGGGTTGGCCGTCTTGGGGGCCGGGGCCGGCTGGGGCAGAGGTCTCTGCAGAGCTGTGAGAGAGAGGAGAAAAAAATAAAGGGAGTGCATGTATAAACATCCAGGTGACATAAGGAATTTTCCAGAACTGCCCCCTTGTTAGTAGAGCAGATTTCAGGGGAGGTAAGTAAATACAAAAGATCCAAGTTGATTAGGAAGGGGTGAGATAGAAGTCCTGCCCTAGATTTCTCTAGACGGTTCACTCCACGAGAGTGTGTGTTTTCTTCACTACCACTCTTAATAATACATTATTTGTTTTTTCATTCTCGAAGTGCTGGCTTGGCAGAAAACTGTCCATCTGAAACCTTATGAATTTCAGGAATCATAGTTTTTTAAAAAAATTCAAAATTTCATCTTGGGAAAATCAAATATGTTGTGTCATTTATCTGCAGTTAGTGAGCCTGTACTTGCATAGAAATCATCATTTTACTATCAAACTTGCTTAAGTAATTTGCATTGTTACACATGAACTTGTTTGATAAACTGAAGTAATTTCATTTGATTGTAGTTATATTTACTTACTGCATATACATAATTTAATCATTTAATTGATTTTTTAAAAATTAATTTTTTAAATTGAGTCACTGTGAGATAGAGCCTTACAAAGGTGTTCATGAGGAGGTTTCAGTGCTACAGTGTTCCAACACCCATCCTTCCACCAGTGCACATTTCCCAGCACCAGTGACCCCAGTTTCCCTCCCCTCACCCCTCGCATTTTTGTTGGTTTCATGGGGTTTTTATACCCAAATTCTATTTGGATGCTTGAGCAGAAAGGGATAGTGAAACTGTAAGAAGTATTTTCTGAACATACCATCATCTTCGTCCTGTTAAAGGGAAGAGAAAGGGAAAATTAGCCCTAATCAAAACACAGTTCCTTTAAAAACAGTATTTCTCAGTTATGCAGTGTCTCTTTATATTATTATACCTCTCCATATTAAAAAATATATCCCGGGAAATACTTTGGACAATTGTGCTAACAGGTTTATGATTTCCTAACTTAAATGACCATCTGAGGACGTGGCGGCCTGAGACTTTTCCTTGTAATAGTAGAGGACAGGCTCTCGGGGGCCTAGACGGGCCCAGAGACACCATCCAAATGACACATTCTGTTGTGAGCCCCAAGTCAGCAGTGGTATTTCCTGCCACCTCCTGAGCTGTGCTTCCAGGATGTTAGGACCCTCACACTCAGGCCGGATTCCTCCCTCCTCGGAGCTAAGGGACGTGTGCAGTTTGACTCAAAGTCACTTTGACGCAGAGCTTAGCCACCGTCTGGGCTCGCGTCTCCAAGCCACCCCCTTGCGGACGATCCTTTGTGATGCTTATACCCAGCGTGTTTCTCGAGATGGTCTTGCACAGTAGGCAAGAGAAGCAGCAGTCTGCTCTGCAGATTGGAAGCGACAGACCCAAACTGGTCAGTGTGGTGGCGAATGGAGCAGCCTTCGGGTGACATAACTTCATCTGAACAAACCCAAGTAACAACAACAGGCGCTCGGGGGCTGAGGGTTCAGGTGGAGAGGGACTCGAGGAGCGTTACTGGCTCCCACTAGCTGTGCAGTTTCCCACCGTGTCTTTCCCTGCTCGGCTTCTTTTTCCTCCCGAGAGAGGCACACGGATGCACCTACAAGCCAGGGCTGGCCGTTCTCTTCCTCCTGTTTGTCTGAAACTGACGCTTCCTGAGGCTGTCATTGGCACTCGGGCAGCCCCCAGAAAGAGACCTGCCCTCCACAGTACGTCCTTGGCAGCTTCCCATGTGGAGTGCAACGGCCAGCAGCTATTCCCCCTTCCTTGTGAGGGTGTTCCAGGGCACAGGGCTGCCTTGCTGAGTTTCATGTCAGCCCAGACACTTGGGCTTTCTCACTTACTCCTTCCCACTGCCCTTTGCCTTGTAGTGGACCTGGGGTGATCGCGACCCTGGGAGCTGAGCCAGCAGCAGTGTGGGCAGGAAGGAGAGGGAGGCCCCACAGGCACCTGAGGGCGGGAGCAGGGGTGCAGACCCCTCCCAGCAGAGGGCTCCTGGGCTGTGCAGACCCCTCCCTCCCCGCAATGGACTGGGGAGGAGCCCAGACTGGTCTTCCTGGGGCCATGCAGCTACTGAAGGGCATTTTGTACTTACATTCTCTCTTCTGCCGGGTCCCCATACGTGCCTAAAACGAGTCCAAGCACAGAACAGAGCATGAAGAGCTTCATAGTATGGAGATGGTTACTCTGATGAGAATCAAAGCCACGAAGCCGTGGCAGAGTGGGAAGGCAGAGCCGCGGAGGGTGGTTGGTGCCCAAGCGCTGAGCTGGGCGAGCCGTTACCCTGTGCCCCTGCCGCTGGCTGCGCAGTGACACCCGCTGCGGGTGTATAAGGGGCTTGTCAGCAGACCGGCTCTGCAGGAGCTGTTTCTCCCAGCAAGTGAAAGCATTTTAGGTGATATTTTTCTTCTCAAGTTTATCTAAAAACAGCCATCTCTGAACTGTTACCATCTTGCACAGTGGGGCATGCTGGTGCTTTGGGACTTTCCAGATGAACGAGCTGGTCAGACAGATTTGGGGCCAGCTGCCGAGGCCATGAGCACCTGACCGCCATCATGTTCTCCTTGGGGGGACAGAGGGACACAGCTAGTTGGCCACCTCCCATCTGTCAGATTTTCAGAGCCACCAGCTCGTCCTGTTCTTTGCAAATTTTTATGTTTGTTTTTATTTGGATTTCTATGGATTCATGCTGAGTTTTTAAAATATTGATTTGATTATTGAGTTCTTTTGGTTTGGGGTCCTGTCTTTCCCAGAGCTGGGCAGAGAGAAGCCTTGGCTCTGTGCTCAGTGGCAGGTGAGCCTGGGCCCGGGTATACGGGTAGCTTTGGGTATCGAAGCCCCAGGAGACTTGAGAGTCCAGAGGGAGTTCGTCGAGCAGACTCGTCTGTCGCTAGAAGTGGGGCAAACGGAGCGGGCGCAGAATCCCCCTGTGGTGGAAACAGCTTCTCTACGGTGCTGGCGGGAAAACCCAGCCCCGGTCTGCGGGTGCAGCGTGCTCTGCCCTCACTCTGCTCCCCCCCTCAGTGCTCCGCAGCAAAGGAACCGGCGGGGTCCTGCCTCCCTCTGTCCTTCCCTCTGAGCCTGAACATTCCCGGGACCTGGGATCCCAGCACTGGGCCGTCCCGCAGAGGCGCGTACACAGATAGAGGTGGGGAGTTACCTGGGCACAGGCGGCCTGGTGGCCAGCGGAGGGCGACCGCCTTCGTGCCTGTCTATGGCTGCTGGCAGAGGAGGCTTCTGTATCTTGGGTAAAAACTCCCCGTGTGACCTGCAGATTGGCAGACAGGCGTGTGACCCCGCGCTAGCTTCCCAGGTAGGGCGCCCCAGCCTGCACCCCAGTGCTTACCTGCCTTCCTGGGTGGGGGGCTGCAAGGCAAGCGGGAGAGATGTGTGAGTGCCCCACGCTCTCACGGCACACTGACATGGAGCCACGGGAGTAGTGGGGAGGAGGGGGGCACTTACCTTGCTGGGAAAGGCCGGCTTCATCCCTGCAGGCGAGAAGTAGCAGGTGAGCCTGGGGTCCCTGACTGCAGCTGGACCAGAGGGCCCCCTAGACTGAGACGTCCCAGCCCCTGCCTGGGAGACTCACGGGAGCACTCAGAGTCCAGACACCTGGGCGCACCGTGCGGGGTGCCCGTTCCTCAGGCTCAGAGGAGTGTAGTCCACGCCCGGAGGGGTCAGGGGTCAGCAGCACAAATGGGGAGGGGGCACTCACCCGGCAGGAAGGGCTCTCGGTCGGCTGGAGCCAGGGACCAGTCCAGCATGGGCTTCGTGCTTCTGTCGATGGAAGGAGGCGGGACTGCAGGGACAGAATGGAGTCAGGGGAGGAGGGGGCACCGGGCTGGGCACAACTTGGGGTGCTGCAGGCCGCAGGGACTCACGCTTCGGAGTTCTATGGTTTCTGTTCCTGCCGGGCTCCTGCTGGCTGGGCTGGGCCGGCGGCAGGGGCTGCTTCGGAAAGAACCAGATATCAGGAAGCGTTTCTCACCTGCGAGACGGTCCGGGGCTTCATCTCCCCATTACCCCTGCACCCGACCACTTCTCTCACCCACCCACAGACTAGCACCTCCATGTCGCACCTTACCTGCAAGGAGCCTGCGCCCTGGCTCCCGCCCCCTCCCGCCCAGCCCGCAGTGTCCCCTCCCTGTCCCCTTCCTGCCCCCTCCCAGCCCGCAGTGTCCCCTCCCTGCCCCCTCCCAGCCCACAGTGTCCCCTCCCTGCTCCCCTCAGCGTCTCCCCTCTGCTCCCTCCCAGCCTGCAGTGTCCTCTCCCTGCGCCCTCCCAGCCCTGGTCTAACTGTCTCTTCCCTTTCATGATCAAAATAGCCCCCGTTTTGACTCGGGACCCTAATGTGTCTGGTTAATGCTCTGTCTCAGCACTGTGTAAGGTTGTACTTCTGAGTACACAGTAGCTGCTAAATAAGTATCTGTTGGCTGAGCGATAGCACAGCGGTAGGGTGTTTGCCTTGCCAACATGGCCAACCCGAGTTCGATTCCTCCACCCCTCTCGGAGAGCCCAGCAAACTACCGAGAGTATCTCGCCCGCACGGCAGAGCCTGGCAAGCTCCCCGTGATGTATTCGATATGCCAAACACAGTAACAACAAAGTCTCCAATGGAGGCGTTACTGGGCCCGCTCGAGCAAATCGATGAACAACGGGAGGACAGTGATGGTGACAGTGGCTGAGTGAGAAAATGCTGCATCCCAAATGTGGGCGTGAGGTAGAGGCTTGCCTTGAGGCGGGCAGCGGAGGGCAGTTGTTGGTTGGCTATGGACTTTGAGGCACTGGCCAGCGGGGGGGCAAGTGTGGGGGGGCCCAGGGCACCTGTGGTGGAGCCCTCGCTGCGCCCAAGCTGAGATGTCCTGCACTTTCTACTGCTTCCGGTCAGAAGCAGAAACCATGACGATTGTAACATGAGGGAAAATCACTTATATTCACACGAAACCTAGAGTTCCCTTTCCCCACCCAGGCACCTTTTCCTGCTAGTTAAGGAGGGAGCAGATAGCCTAGTCTCCGTGCAGTGGAACCCAAGCAACGAGGAGAACGCGGGAGGGCCTACCCCATGGTTCCGGGCACTGGGCGGGACAGGCACAGCCGCCATGGTCCTCTGTGGGGGCACGGGGGGCTGCTGGGCACCTTTCCCGGTGTGGGGGCGGTCTGTGGAAGTCAAGGGCATTGGCGTGAAAGGAAGCAAGCGCTGCCCATCCCACTCTGCCCGCTCCTGCTCCTCCACCCTGGGCAGCTCCCATCACTCTCTAGGTGGGACTGTGTGGTTTCCGCCATTGGGCGGGGGGACCACAAAACCAGCCTTCAAACTAGCCCTTAGAGCTGCAGGGATTTAAGCCACCTGTCCCCTGCGTGTGCAGGCGAAGGGTGCAAATGCACTCATGTACACACTCCTGTGCACATGCGCAGACATGGGCTGCCTGGGCTGTGCCCACCCACTCTTCTCCTCTCTCCTGCTGTGCCTGGGCCTGGCCCACCTCCTGCCGTGGGGGCCTCACTGGCCTCTACCTTCTGTTTCTGAGTCTCAGAAGGGCCTTTGCACAACCATCACTGCCAACAGAATGCTCTCCTGTCCCCACACTTAGTTTCAGCTCAGATGTGACCTCAGGGCCGTGGCTCTCCCTGGAAGGTCCTCATCCTCCGGCTCTGGTTTCCTGATTGAATTCAGGTCCCCTGAGATTCATTGTTGGACACTGTCTCACCCCTTGCCTGAGTTTCTTAGGGTGACACTGTCTTGTTCATTCATACCTCCATAGCTGGCACATGCCAGGGGCCGGCCCCTTGGGGTCTCTCTTCTCTGTGCCTGTTTCCCCCTCCAGGGCATGGGCACTACTGAGTGCCTGACTCAGCTGTAAGATGAGTCCCCACTCTTCGAGAGCTGGGGCGCCTCAGCACTGCTCAGTTGGGTCTGGACACGTGAGTGACCCTCACTCAGCCTGCACCGCTGGTCTCTCTGCACATGTGATTGACCCTCACAGTAAGCCAGTCGTCCTGCTTCACGAATGCTGGGGAGAGCTGGGGAAGTGGCATGGCTTGCCCGGAGGCTACGGCTGATCTCTGCTCTGGCCAGCAGCCCCCCCCCCCCCCCACACACGCGGTCAGGCCTTACCTATGTACATGGAGTCGGGGAAGGGCTTGGCAGGCAGGATGGAGTTCTGGAGCGCTTCCTCGTCGTTGGACGGCGGGGGCTCGTAGTCGGCGTCATCCTCTACCGGGGGCACCTCCTCCTCCGTCGGGCTCTCGTAGTCACCATCGTCCTCTCCGCCCTGGTCCTCCGTGGGGCTTTCATAGTCATCTTCCTGCCAACACAGGTTGGGGGCATGCAGTCAGTAGAGGCCCGGCTAGGCCTCCCGGTGACACTCGCAGGAAGGTGGCATCATCGGAGCCGCCAGCCCAGGGGCCGGGTAGCAGAGCCAGTTCTGGTCCAGGCATCAACGATCAAGAGCGCTCTTGCGTCTGCTAGGTAACCCTCCACCCTGCTCTTCACAGACTCCTCCTCTGTCTGGTCCCATGGGGAGGCCGGGCAGGCCAGCGGTCCTGCCTGAGGGTCTCTGAGAGTGAGCACAGCGTAGACAGCACCTGAGCCTGGCCACAGTGGCACTTTGCTGGGGGCCCTCTCTTGGGAAGACTTTCTCTGACCTAAGAAACGGTCACAGTTCTGGGGTCAGAGTGACAGGAGAGCGGGGAAGCATCTGCCTTGCCTGCAGCCAACCCAGATTCGAACCCCAGCATCTCATATGGATTCCGAGTACCTCCAGGAGTAACCCCTGATTATCGCCGGATGTGACCCCAAACAAAGCCCAGGCACTGTGTGGCAGGTGGTGCTTCGAGGGAGCAGCAGACACCTGTACCCCAGGGTTTAGGCAGCTTTGCTGGCAGCTCATGGGGCATGTTGGAGACAGGTGAGAGTTCAGTCTCTCCTGAGCAGGGCATGGAGTCTCTGATGGGCGGGATGTGGAAACGGTTCACCCCTCTCCAGCTCCAGCCCCTGCTAACCCCCTAGAATGAGGGTCCCTCTCTTCCCTCCACCTGACCCCCCTCAAACCCCAGTGTGCCCGGGAGCCTTTCTCAGGGCTGACTTTCCTCCTCTCGTCTAGAACACTTGCTTCTTCCGTGACTCAGCGCTGAGGCAGACACGGTTCTGCTCCCTCTGTGTTCTGCTTGTCCTGCCTTAGCCACGCTGTCAGTAATGGCCGGACTCTGCCCCCCACTGCTGCCTGCTGCCCTGGAGGTCCAGGCACAGGGCGGAACCCCGGGCACACAGGGCTCCTGACCGGCAGGATCACAGGCAAGCCTGGGAGGAGGCAGCTTCTCTGCGGGAATGTACCCGTCAGGGGGGCTCTGGTCTCTCCCTGTCTAGGGAAAGTAAATCTGCTGTGTCTCTTGTTTCCATGCAGTAAACACAGCCGTTTCTAGCGGCCTCTCATTCAGCACTTGCCTAGCAGGGCCAGGTGCCGGGAAGCCAACCACCCTGCTTCCTAGCTGAGGGGTTCCCCGCGGGCGTCCACCAGGCACGCACGGCTCCCAGCCTGCCTGTGCGTGGCTTTCCAGGCTGACTGGACAGAGCCCAGCCAGGCTCAGCGGTCTGTGTGACCCTCACTGGGTCAGGTCTCCCGAGGTCTGTGTAGGGCCCAGAGGTGATTCTCGAGTGCCTTTGTCTCTGTGCCCACCGTGGAACTTTCTCTCCATCCCCCCGCCCTTGCCCTCGTGGGGAATCCCAGCCCCCCGAGGATAGCTGGAGCCTCAGTGGGTCCCAGACCTCATCACACTTGGGAAAGTCTCCTCGTAGTCACACACCCAAGCCTGGACATGGGTGCCAGGAGAGGAGACACACGTGCTGCTCAGGACCTTGATGAAACTGAGTCTCCGGACTGTGCCTGCTGGCCGACAGTGGGGTTGAGGAATGGGGGCGGGCCGGGGGGTTCCAGCACAGCTACTCTCTAGCCAGTGCACGGCCTTAATGGGGCGGGGTCCAGCCCCCAGGCCAACTCTGGACCCCTCTTGTTTGGGTGCAGACTGTGGGCACACAGCCCCGTGTGTGTGTGTGTGTGTTTGGGTACAGACTGAGCACACAGCCCCATGTGGGGGGAGGTCTGCTGTACCCATGCTGCCTCGGCAGAGGGGGCTGCAGAGGTCTGGAGGGGCAGCTGGGGCTGCAGCCTGTACTGACCCTCTGACGTGGGGGGCCTGAGCCCTTGCTGCCTGTGGCTGGCCCTGGACAGCACACCCCATACTCACAAAGGATGACCAGCCCCCGTTGTCCTCCTCGTGGCTCTCTGTGAAGGAAGCAGCAGAGTGGTTAGCGCGGGTGCAGCCAGAGAACAGGATCCACAGCAGGCCCTGCCTGGCGCCCTCCCCCAGCCCCCAGCTGCCTTCCCCATTTTGGGGCCCATCTCCTCAGAGGATCTGCCCTGCCCCCCTCATGTGTAGCGGAAGTGCCCGAGTACTGGCAAGTGTACTGCCTCTGATCCCACAGAGAAGGGCCAGCTTCGTGCTGGATGCCCCCACGCAGCACCAGGGAGCAGGGGGAAGCACCTGGGACACTCCAGCCCATCTTGGGGCTTGGCTGGCATCAGGCGCTTCACAAAAGTCAGGGCCTTGTGTGCTGCCTCTGTGATGCCAATTCCTCAGTCTCTGTCAACCCCACCCCCGCCCTGTCCCCTCATCTGGAAGCAAAGCCCTTATGGAGGCAGGAATGGCAGATGTGTAGGACCCGTGGCCCACTGCTCGTTGCCACCCTCTGAAACGCCCTGAGCCCCCAGCCCTCACCTATTTCTTCCGGAAACCGCTGCACTTGAGGTCTGCAGAGGTAGAAAGTCGCATTAGGGGCCTTATTGACTTAAGGGGCCTCCTTCCTGGACGGCCCCAAGAGGAGTCCCCCACCACCCTGGACTGGGTCCTTGTTGCTAAGCAACCTATCCCAGGCTGCCTGAAAATTCTGGAAACCACCCGAGCCACATTGGTAGCACGACTGGGAGCTCATGACCGTATGACAGTGCATGGGAATTTCCCCTGCCCCCCCACCCCCTGGGACTGAGAAGGACCCGGCCAGCTCCATGCCTCGAGCCAGGGTCCCCAGCCCACTCACTTTCGAGGGAAGATGCTTCTCCTCTCCTCGTTCTTGTTGATGTCTTGACTTAGCCTAATGAGAATCCTGCGAGATAAAGAGGCAGATGAGCTGATAACTCCTTTCACCCCACTGAGCCTCGTGGTTCCCCATCTGTAACCTCCGGTGTCTCTCGGGGCCCTCTGCTCATGACTTCCTCCTGGCACTTGTCACCTTCCCCGCAGACCTCAGTCCTGGCCAGGACACGGCGTCTGGCTCAGCGCCTGCGTGAAGCCCAGCCGTTCTGGGTGCCCCTCTCCAGAATCCTGCTGCTTCGGGTCCGTCTCTTCTGACGTTAACTTCCTGGAGGTGCTCTCTCGTCCCAGGAGCCCTCGCCCGACCCTTGGTGAGGCCTGGAGAGGCAGCTGCCCTTGCATGACCCCTGACAGGGCTCCAGGAGGCTGTCCTTCCACCTGCCACCTCCTTTCAGCCCAGTTTCCTGCTTCCTGGCTGGTGCGGCTATTCCCAAGAAAGGCCTGGTCTGCAGCTCGGTGCCCGCCCTGGCCCTGGCTCTTGGACTTCCTTTAGTCTGAGTGGGAGGTGCCCAGCCCGGGAGACTCAGCCCTCCAGACCTGGGAAGGGGGCCCAGGCAGCAGGACGTGGGCTGGCAGGAGAGGAGAGTGGATCGGTGACGAAGGCCCCTCCCCACAGCACACCCAGCCCCTGGAGTCAGGGTCCCGAGCAGGGCACCTGTGCTGCATCCTCTGGGTGCTCAGGCCTCAGGATTGCTGAGCCCAGGTCTGCTGAGGCTGATGTTTAAGCGGGAAAAAAGAGCATCATATCTATTTCTCTGATTTCACTTGATCAGTGCCAAGGGTTGAACAGTGTCTGCTACTTCTGTTGTTACTAATTCCCCGACTGGCCGATTATTTTCAACCTCTTCTTTCACAGTCTAATCATCCTGTCCCTTGAGCTCAGGAATGGGGGTTAGATTCCACCGGTCACTCCAGTAGAGTTCAATGCCGGCCCCAGCTTCCTCTCGTTCTTCTCCCACGTCGAACCAGCCGTCCCTTCCTTTCAGCGTGTGTGTGTGGACAGCAGGCACATGCTCCCACCTCACCACCCCAGTCTGGGCCTGCAGCCTGTGCCCAGCGCTGGGAACCCCTGCTGCGTCCTCCCGTCCCTGCCCATGCCCACGCAAATCCCGTGTGCCGCAAGCCATCCCTCGCGTGCCCTCGGCGTTAGGTCAGATTTGCTCGCTGCCTGCCAAAAGCCTGCGTGGCCGTCCCCTCCTGCCACCCTGGCACTCGGCAGCTCTGCCTGGCCCGGAGCGGACAGGGGATCTGCTGTCGAGGAGCCGCCCAGGTGGGCCGACCACAGACAGGCAGTTTCGGGAAGTGAGAGTCTAGGCAGGAGACGGCGCGTGCGGGGGTGCTGGGGGTGAGAATTAGCCAATCCCGGGCAGAGAGGCCATCACATCCGGGGGGTGCTGAGCAGCGCCCCTGAGCACCCCTGCACCTGCTGGCTCACGGCTTGGATCCCAAGGAGCCATCCCACCCCGCAGGGAGTCTCCTTATCGGCTCTGCAGCAGCTGGGCTGCTGAGGAAGGAAGCGCCAAACCACAGGCCCAGCGCAGGAGCAGCCGAGAGCGAGTGAAGAACAGCCAGAGCCTGGGCTCCTCTTCCACAGCCAGGGGACGGGGGACAGTGCAGCGGCTGCTGCTTCTTGTGCAGACCTTGCAGGTCTTGCGCTAAACCGTGAAACCCACACTCCCACCCCTGGAAGACCGAGTGACAGTGAGTGGCCGGAAGTGACTCATTCCCCCAAGGAGAGGCTGGCGGGGGCGGGGTGGCTACACCGGGAAGGAGGGCAGGAAGGGGCCTTGCAGCCCGACCCACCCTGGCTGCTCTGGAAAGCACCTCTGCTCTGCCAGGTCAGCAGGGAGAGGCTGGCAGGCGGGGCAGGGGCCGGGCACAGTGCTCACTGTGGCTTGAGGCTTCCGCTGGAAGGCACAGCTCGGGGGCCCTTCGGGAACCGCCCCCTTCCTGGGCCCTGTCCCCGGAAGCCTGCAGAGGACCCTGAGCTCCTGGGCCAGGATGTGGTGGGCAGAGCTGCCACCCACCATCTCCCCAGCCCAATATCCCCCAACTCCACCCGGCCTCTGTGCCCTCTCATGCCCCCCCAGTCCTGCATGTTCTCCCTCCCGGTCTCAGAACCAGCCCTGCAACGTCTGTTCTCCGGGCAGAGAAGATAGAGCATGGGCCTGCCCCTGGGAAGGGCCTCCACCATAGCCAGGCCCTGCGGGGAGCCTCATGGAGGTGGGTGTGGCCCCTGTGATCCCTTCAGCCATGTCACTGACAGGGACAAGGATCTCCTGTGCTCCATTCCCTGTGTACAGTAGATGGTTCTGGATTTGCCCCAGGGCACATGGCTGTGGTATAACTGAGCCTGGAGGTCTCGACTGTGGGGCTCCAGTGGGGACTGAAAAGGTGTGTGCTGGGGACAGGAAGTGCTTTGCTGCCTGGGGGTGGGGGAGGTGGGAGGAGGCGAGCACAGACCCCTGAGAGGAGGGAGGGCGGAGCGCACAGACCCTGCACCTTCCTCCCTCAGCCTACCTCTGCCTCTCGGCCCAGGCTGGTTCCCCAGCTGAACCCCCAGTACAGTGCTGTCCCGTCACCCTTCCCCTCTCTTCTGCCTGTCGCACGTCTCATCACTCCTTCCCTTCCGTTTCTTTTCAAGTTTTCCGTGGGTATAAAGAGAAGCCATAACATGTGAAAAGAATAGACAAAAACCAACACTTCAGTTGGGTCTCAGCAGGCATTAGCATGTGTCCTGCAGTTTAACTTGGTCTCGACCCTACTCTAGGTTCAAGCTTAGCTCCCTAGAGGGATACCGTCTGCGTCTGCTTACAGACCACTGGCCCCAAAGCATTCTGCGCACCCAGTGCAGTCCCGTGACATTTAGCAAAGAAATTGATCAGACGCTCCTGAAATTCTTTTGGAACAGTAACCCCCCACAAATAAGTAATTCTTGGGGACAAGAAGACGGGAGGCATCACCTTCCCCAACTTCAAACTGTGTTAAAGTGGTAGTAATGAAAACAGCATGGTCTTGGAATAAAAACAGACCTGCAAACCAATGGAACAGTGTTAATATTCTTACTCAGACCCTCAAATATGTGACTGCTTAGTCTTTGATAAAGGAGCAAGGACTATGAAGTAGAACAAGCCTCTTCAACAAACGGTGCTGGGAAAACTGGACAGTTCCATGCCAAAAAATGAACTCAGACCTCTAACGCCAAGCACAAAAGTCATATTACAACGAATTAAAGACCTCAATATCAGACCTGAATCCATAAGTACATGGAGGAAAACATAGACCGCTCCATGCTATTGATGCTAAAGATGAAACACCTCTGACCAAGCAAGAGAAAACGAAGATAAACAAATGGAACTACCTTAAACAGAGAAGCGTCTGCACCTCAAAAGAAACAGTGACCAAGATACACAGACATCCCAGGGAATGGGAAACACTATTCGCCCAAGACTCACCTGATAAAGGGTTAGTATCAAAGATATATAAGGCATTGCTAGAGGTTTCCAAGAAAAAGACATCCAACCCCATCAAAATATGGGCAGAGGAAATGAACAGAAACTGCTTCAAAGAAGAAAGTCAAATAGCCAAAAGGCACATGAAAAAAATGCCCTATATCACTAAACATTATGAAGATGCAAATCAAAACAACAATGAAATATCTCACACCACAGAGCCTGGCACACATCCAAAAGAACAAGAACAACCAGTGTTGGCATGGATGCGGAGAGAAAGGGCCTCTCATCCATGGTTTGTGGGAATGCCAACTGGTCCAGTCTTTTTGGAAAACAATATGGATGTTCCTCAAAATACTGGAAATTGAGCTCCCATAATATCCAGTGATACCACTCCTGGGAATATACTCTGGGGGTTCCAAAACACACAGAAACACCATCTATACTATGTTCATTGCAGCACTATTCACAATAGCCAGAATCTGCAAATAACCCAAGTGTCCAAGAACAGACAATTGGATAAAGAAACTATGGTACATCTACACAATGGAATATTATGCAGCCACAATGAAAAGTCTTGAAATTTGCGTATAAATGGATGGACATGGATGTTGTCGGTCTGAGTGAAATAAGTCAGAAGGAGAGGGACAGACTTAGAAGGTCTGTATTTATTTTGGGGATATAAAAATATATAGTATAAGACTAATATCCAAGGACAGAAAAACAGGGGACCAGGAAGACTGATCCACAGTTGGAAGCTTGCCACAAATATTTGGGAGTGGAGGGCAGTTGGAATAGAGAAGGGACCACTGTGACAATAATGGTTGGAAATGATCAGTCTGGACAAGAACTGAGTGTTGAAAGTAGGTAAAGAGATACGCGTGATAACCTTTCTGTATCTGTAATACAAACCATAATGCCCAAAAGGAGAGAGAAAGAGGAGAGGGAGAGAGGGAGTGAGGAGGGAGGGAAAGAAAGGGGAGAGAGAAAAAGAGAGAGAGAGAGAGAGAGAGAGAGAGAGAGAGAGAGCCTGCCATAGGGGCAGGTGGGTGGTAGGGCAGGAGGGAAACTGGGGACATTGGTGGTGGGAAATGTGCACCGGTGACGGGAGGGACAGGTCTTGGAACACCGTATGACTGAACCCCAGTCGTGAACAGCTTTGCAACTGTGTGTCTCATGGCGATCCAATTTTATAAATAAATAAAACCCCACTGGCACTGCAGGATCCAGGATTTCTGGGAGAAACTGCATCCTAACAGAGTAACTCTATTTGGAGACGGAAAACGCTGCCCTCACCAGAATCTGCCTCCTGCAAAGCCTACTTAATGCTGACGCTTTTAAGCATCAGGAAGGAAATAGAAATATTCAGAGGAGCGTAATCTTGTTCTGGCCTGGAGTACACAAACCAAACTCCTTCCCCCAGCCCTCGAGGGTAATGAGCCCTGAATGAAGAATGGAGTGTGCAGCAGACTCTGTCTTCTTCAGCAGGGACAGCACTGCCTCCTTGCTCGTCCCCCCTCCCCCGACCCCCTCCCTACCTGCCCGGCTCCCGCAGGCCAGGCCGCAGAGCTGTTTAGCACCTGGCCCTCCTCCCCAGCCCCGCTTCTCCCCCTACACATGCGCTGGTCATGGGAACCAAATTCAGACTGCTTGAGGCTCTTCTGCTATTCTACTTAGCATTTCCCCCCCTGTTTCTTTTTGGGTAGTTTCCATGCATGTCTTCATGTTTAGTGAAGTTTTCTTCCACAGTGTCCAGTCTAGTTAATTTGAAGCAGCATAGTTACCATGGAAGGTACTTGGGAAGCTATAATTGGGCGCTTGTGTAGTTCCTGTGCCTCAGTTTAACTTTTTTGAACGTACAGGTTATTGTTAGATGTGCCGATCTGTTGATCTCATGTCTGTCAGTTATGCATCAGCCTGAGTGCATTGGTTTTTACCCAGTAAAAACCCAGTAGTTTTTGTTTTTCTAACATTCAGTTGGTCTCATAATCCCTGATTAGATGCTAGACTTTGAAAAGTTTACTTCGTTGGGTGGTGGATACTTTTGCAGTCCTAAAAGTATCTCTGAGGTTTGGGAGGGTTTGCTGTTGTTACATAGAAATGGTTCATTCTTTTTCATGCTCTTGACATTAGCAGGGCAGGAGCTCGGGAAGTGACGTGCTGGTCCAGAGGTGCATGGTCTGCCAGCGAGGGACCCAGCTTCAACGCCCAGTACCCTACGACCCCTGAGCACTGCCAGGTGTAGCCCTCAAATAGCCCCCGCTGGGTGGAGCCCAGGTGGCCACCAGGACTGCCAGAGGCCAGTTGTCCACTCCTTGGCGTGTCACTGGCAGACCAGGAAATAATCATTCTCAGAAGACTCACGTAGCGGGACCAGATGGGACTCGAACCGACGACCCCACTGCTGAGGCTTCCGCCTGCTCTGCATGACCGATGCCGAGTGCTGCAGCTGGCTGCACGCTGTGCTGTGTGCACACACTGACCCCCTGAGCAGCTCCTTCATGTCCCCCTGCTCTGGGCCGACACTGGGCCCCTCACGCCCATGCGCCCCGAGGCCTGGCTGGCTCAGAAATATGTTTGCTTCAGCTTTCAGGGTATTTAAACTGTGTGAACCAACACTTAGAAATTGATATATATATATATATATATATACATATATATATATATATATATATCACAAAACCCATATCCTGAGCTACTTTGGATGATTGAAAAACTGGCCATGCTGACCGCCATCCACGGGAGCCCACAGTTCTGCACCCTGGGCGCCCCGGCATCCCGTGCTCTCTGCCCAGGAGACGATGCTGTTGTCACAGCAAGCATGTTACCATCCTGGCTGGGCCCTGGCGCTGCTTAGCGTGGAGAAATGTTTCTCTCTCCTCATGTTTTACTGAAAGTGAAGGTGAGACTGAAGATGACTCAGAGGCAAGCGCCGTGTCTTCCTATGCGCCGCACTCACCTGTGCACCTTCGAAAGCTGGAAGCCGGGGACAGGTGCATGGTGTGACCTGTGCTGGGGGAGGGACCCTGGCCGAGGAGCTTCCTCCTCCCCTTTCAGCACCCTCAGTCACCCCAGCAGCAACAGTTCACGCCCCGGCCCCAGGATTGTGCTCAGCCCAGTACCCCGGTGGTCTTTCCTGTGCGGCTGGTAGTGAGGGCAATGCGCTGGCCTCTGCCGCCCTCCGTGCTGTCCCGTTTGAGCAGTGGACTGATGGTCAGAGAACTTAACCTCCCCTCGACTCGACTGGGCAGATCCTGGGGAGCCCTTTGACCCCAGTGCCTTCCCCAGGGGCCCAGACGCCACATCCGGCAGGGAGGAGACAAGAGTGGGTCCAGGTCCATCTGAACTCCGGGACTGTCTTCGGCCAGAGCAGCCAGTGTGCCGGCAGGGCCGCCGTGACTGCCTTCTCCCAGCATGTCACAGAGTTTCCCTCCCCCGTGCCCTGCCTTAGCTTTTTCGCGCCCTCACTTCCCCGCGGACTCGGTGCCCCTCGCGGATACTCACGGCACCCGGAGCTTAGGGAACTTCTGGATGTCATTCTCTGTCAGGTTCTGAAATAGAGACGCTGTAGGTCACCATCCAAGCAAGTCGAGTCAGGGATGAGACCACAGGGAGGGGTGGGGACTGTGGCGAAGGGAAGCATACTGCGTGCACACACACACTCAGGCACATGCACGGACACACAAACGCACACATGTGCACACAGATGTGGACAGCCCAAGAGCATTTGCGTAGACGCATGAGGAGCTGGTGTTGCTGGCCCTTATTTGCCAAAGGGAATTCCTTGATACAGCTTTATTATAGGGACAGAAAAGATACGGGGTGTTTGGATAACTCCCTCCCCACAGCCCCCCCACCTTGCCCCCACCATAGATCCCCTTCCCTTGCATGCCCCCCACCCCCTTCCATGGCACAGTTCCTGGTACTCGCTACAGCTACCTCAGAGAGTCTGAGCCTTAGATCTGTTTGCAGTGAAACAGAGCCAAGGAAGTGATCTCACGTGCGTGATCGTCACTGGCGCAAAACCATGTGAATCGGGTGGAGCCAAGAGGGACACTGCTGAGGTGCTAAGGGTGGGGGGAGGGGATGCATCCTTTGCCCCAGCCAGGGGACAGGCACTGCAGAAGCAGAGATGGCCAGAGGCTCTGCCCTGTCTCCTGCAGTCTTGCCCCGCCCTCAGGCTTCTTGGGGTGTGAGCTTGAAGGGGTGTCCCAGGGGTGCGCGCAGATATACATTCAGTGGCCCCGTTCGCCGTTGGGATTCTGCTCAGACTTTGGACTGTACCTTGGTCCTGGTGAGTGAGCTGGGAGGGTCCCAAGAGTCACATGGGAGGGGCGAGAGCTTCCCAAACCCGTGAGAAGTCCTGGTGTCTCCTGGGGATCCGTGAGACAGCCAGTGGTGGGCCCCCCAAACAGTCGACCCACTCCTCAGCTGCCAGAGGGGAAACGCACGTGTCTGACCGGCCGGCACTTACCAGAAACCGAGCCCCGTCGATGTGGAACTTCTTCACCGTCTTCTCGCAGTCCTTGTAGTTGAGCTGCGAAGGGGAGGGAAGACGCAGTCCGTGGCTCGTGACATTGGTTCCACTCCCTGGCCTGCCCCGGAAGCTTAGCAATTTGTGGTACTTGTGGCTAGACAGGCGTCCCCTCAGCCCTGTCGAACAGAGGGCCCCAGGCTGCCTCAGCCCTGCTTTCACTGGCCCCCAGGGATGCTCTGAAAGGGAGAATGTGCCTCGGTCTAAGGAATTGGCGCCAGGCACTCTGGAGTGTGCGCTCAGCTCCAAAGAGCCGGCCAGGTGCCACCAGGGAGGCTGAGAGGGGCCACAGGGCGACTTCTGTCACCTCAGTACCCAGACACTGGGCCAACTCTGTCACCTCAGCACCCAGACACGGGGCCACCTCTGTCACCTCAGCACCCAGACACGGGACCACCTCTGTCACCTCAACACCCAGACACGGGGCCACCTCTGTCACCTCAGCACCCAGACTCTGGGCCACAGGGAGAGTGGTGCCCTGTGCCGCCGCCTCAGTGGGCTTCGGGATGTGATACTGTGCTCGTCACTGAATGTTCTTCCCTTGCCTTTTCTCTCTGCACGTGACCTTCAAATGCTAACAGAAGCCTCAAATGATCACGAGCTTATTCTCAACATTATTTTCTCTTAATTACTCCTTTACTCCTGAGAATCCTGTTTGTTTTCCACACGGCTGTCGCAGTCATCATAATCGAGATTGCTGGCAGTGACGGCCACCCTCCGTGGCTGGCGCCGTTCTGAGACTCCATGGGGAGCGAGCGAGCCCTTGGGCATTCACGTGGGGGGACAGGGGGCCTCCTGGCACCTGGGCTCAGAGGTCACAGGTGGTCTCAGCACATTTTGTTTATCTCTGCCAGGGTGGCCTCCTTCTTCTTAATGACAGTGTAACCGACAGTGAAAAATGAACAAATTCAACTTAAATCTAAGTGCACCGTTGAGGCCAGAAAGAGAGCGCCATGGATGCTCTCGCATGCATCTCCCCTCCTCAGCCATGAAGTCATCCCAGGACCCCACTGGGGCCCGGCCCGGCCCTTGGGGCTGGCTGTGTCTATGAGTCCAGCACTGGGACCCGGCCAGGCCTGCTGGCCTTGTCCCCGGCATCAGCTCTCACACTATGCCTGAACCTGACGTTGTGGGAGACTGAGCCCTGTGAGCTCTGGGCTCACATGTTCTGTCTCGCTTTGGCCGCCTTCTCTGGGCTCAGGATGGAGAGCGTGGTCTTTCCTTGAGGCCGGCAGAGCTCAAAGGTGAGCACCATTGTCAGACCTCTTGGCTTGACAGGGCCATGACTATTAGAGTGAACGTTAGAAAGCTCAGAGAATAGTAATTTAGAGGTAAGGCAAGAGCACAGCTTACGTTTGCATTTAGTATTATATTTAGTATTTCCCTGTCTCCGGGGACTGGGAAATACTCTGTGGCCTTCCTTTCCTATGCGTCAGGGCAGTCACCATCTTAGTCCTGATTGTCCAGAGCCCAGCGCCCGCGGGCGAAGCCTGCCTACAGGTCTTGGTTCTAATCCAGTAATATTTGCGTTTAAGGACTAAACGTCTGAATTTTTTTTCACTTTCGACCCTGGTAGGGTCTAACCCAGGGCCTCCCATTCGCGGGACGAGCGCTTCCTGAGCTCCGTTGGCCCCCGGGTGGGACTCGGCAGCATCCAGCGTCCAGCGTGGGGACACTGGCCTCGGGCAACTGCTTGATGTGTAGATGGAGCGAGGAAGGCGGGGACAGGCTTAGGTCACACACGGAGTGGGGATCCAGCTGGGATCCGAACCCGTGGCTGGGGTGGGGGGCTATGGCACAGCCCGCACCCCTCCTGGCAGGGAGAGGGGGACAGAGACATGAGCCCTGACCTCAGTCCTTGGGCTCCCGCCGTGGAGAGAGGCGGCAGGACACAGACGCGGGCACGGAGAGCAGAGAGGCGCCCACTGAGGGCCTCCCGGAGCTCAGCTCCTGTTAGAATCTGGGTCTCTGAAGAGAAAACAGAGGCTCAGAGAGGTGAAGTAATGAAGGGAGCGTCACACAGCCCTTTGGCGGCCGGCCAGTGGGCGAGCTCCGTCTCGGCTCCTTCTCTCTGGGGCCTGAGCCAGGCCAGCTTGGGGGTCCCTCTGCAGCCCCAGGCCCCCACACTGTCCCTGCTCCCTCCCTGAGTTCTGTCCTGCCTGGTGCCATGGGCCTGTCGTGGGTCCAGGCCTTCTGATGGCGCGAATCCTGATGGCTCGACCTTGGCCGTGTCCCCTGCTAAGGGGGGCACACTGGAGACTGGCCAGCTGCCCCCTTTCTCCTGCCCCTCCTCGGCACTGAGCCCACAGTCCTCTGGCCTGTCTCACCTTGGAGAAGTCAGTGGGGGCAACAGCCGCCCCCGCAGCTCGGAGCCCTGGGTGTGCCGTGACCTTTCAGAGTGCGGGTGGGGGATCACCCAGAACCAGCCCCCAGAAAGCCGCGAGGAGCAGCGCCCCCATCTCAGCAGGGCGCAGATGCCCCACGGTCCCATGGCCTGGGATGGACAGAGGACACGGTCACTGCCCACTGCGTCTCGTCTTTGCAGCTGCCCTGAGTGTCGCCTGGGTGGGGGTCACAGCGCCCAGGACCCTGCCCCGGGCCCCATCGAGCACAGGGTCTTGTGCTCAACCCAGCGGGGCCTGACCCAGCCTCTTCCCCGTCAGGGGCCCTGCCATCTGGAAACCGTCTCGCCACCCTGCCCACTGCCGCATGGGGGGTTCTGGGCGCCTGAGTGTTTGGGGAGCCGCTGTCCCCTAAGGCCTTGGCCAGCCTGGCCGCTCCCGGCTGATGGCTCCTGGGGCGCACGCAACCCCCCGGCTCCCAGCAGCCCCACGTCCCTCAAAATCTCGTTCCCCCCCCAGGATTTCTGCTTCCGCTCCCCATGACCCCCCATGTCCTGCTCAGTCAGCCCCCCACCTGCCCACTCCCCTGTGTCCCCCTCTCCCCCCCGAGCCAGGCTCACCTTCCTGAAATAGTCCGCCAGGCTGTCAGGGTCCCAGGCCAGGACCTCGGAGCGAAAGGGCACCTTCTTCGAGGCCATGCTGCCCCCCGGGACGGCTCAGCACGGGCGGGGCCTGGGGGCTGCGCCCATGGACACCCGACCCCCGGCTCTGCCCACCCGGAGCGGCCTCGCTGGAGGGGACGCTGGCGCCACCCTCCCGGACCCCGGGAGCGTCAGCTTCCTCCACGAACAAATAAGGTCTCTTCTGAGAAGGCAACTCAGCGAGTTTCCTCTGCCACTTCCTCTGTGCTGGGGCGGGTAAACAAGGAAGCCCTGCGCTCGCTCGTACCCACACTGCAGGGCCCCCAGCCGGGCGTGCTGTGGCCCCGGCACGGCGAGAAAGGGGCCCCCGTGCACGTCCAGCACGCCCCCCCCCCCCGCCCTGCTCTCCGTGTCTCGGGTCGGCCAGGGTGGAGACGAGCAGGGCCTGCTCCGTTGCCCCCCACAAACCCGACCAAGGCTTCTCTGGCGGGGCGGCCAGGGTGGGGATAGTCACCTCACGCCCGCCTGGCACCCAGAGGCACCAGCCAGGCGGGAACCAAGCCCGTGGGCCCACCCCATGTTCTGGTCACAGCCGCGTCTCTCACGGACCCTGGCCCCTGCAGGCCCCTCTGTCGTGTGAGCACCCTGAGGGAGGGGGAGAGGGAGATCCCGAACATGGGGCCCTTCCTACTCGCGGGACCCTGCTTCAGCTTGCCCACCTGGGAAGTGGGCGGTCAGGACATCCCGGCCACAGGGAGGGCGAGGGGAATGCCAAAGGGCAGGGGGCAGAGACAGGGGACTGAGGCCTGGCCTGTACCGTGATCCCAGCTGGAGAAGCCGCTGGACAGGCCAGCAGGGGCCTTCCTAGGCCTTGACACCTGGGGCTCCCGTGAGCGGCCGTGTGGCCTTATTCCCGGGAGAAGCCAGGCTGGCTCCAGGCCCTGGTGCCAGCTTGTGGTCAGTCCTTCATAGGTCACAGGGACCGAGGGCGCGCGTGGGGGCTGCACCCTGCACCCACCCTCCTCCCCAGCACCCGCACCAGGTGCCCTCCTCTCTCGCCTGGACAGGGCCAGGGGCGCCTTCCTCAGGGCCCTTTGTGGAGGCCAGGGGAGCCTGGAGGGTATGTCTGGTGGGATTGGTCACTTCGGTGCCTGGGCTAGAAGGGAGAGCATGCTTTTGGGGACCGCCGGGACGGGTGTGGGGGTTAAAGGCTGCTGGAACTTTCTTCAGGGTCTCTGTGGATTCACCTTGGGCAGCAGAGTCCCTTTAGTTCCCCATCTGCCCTGAGAGGTGGGGGTGACAGCACCAGCCATGGGGTGACACAGGACCCGTCCCAGGAGCTGTAAGGAGCCTGACCGTCCTGAGCAGGGCGACCCAGGCTGGGCCCACTGGCAGAGAAGTGCTCGGGGCTTCTGGACCCTGCAGGGGGAGGCGGGAGCAGGCTCTGACGGGAAGTCCTCCAAGTCCCCTGAAACCCAGTCTAGACGCCTTCCTGGCACCCCAGGGAAATGCACCAGCCCCCACTGGGTGAGAAGGGGTGGCAGCGCAGCGGGAACAGCACGGCTGACCCAGGCTGTGAGTTTCATTTTCTCTGTCTCTGTCTCTGTGTCTCTGTCTGTCTCTCCCGCTCTCTGTGTCTGTGTATCTGTCTCTGTCTGCCTCTGTCTGTCTGTCTCTCTCTGTCCCTCTCTGTCTCTCTGTCTCTCTGTCTCTGTCTTTCTCTCTCTCTCTCTCTCTCTCTCTCTGTCTCTCTCTCCCCCCCCCTCTCCCTTTCTCCCTCTCTCCCTTTCTCCCTCTCTCCCTTTCTCCCTCTCTCCCTCCTTCCTTATTTGGACTTCCTGCCCAGCACCCGACCGCCCATCATCCTGCCCCCAGCTCTGCTCTCTGGGCCACGCCGGGCAGCAGCCCAAGTGCCCGCGGTGAGGGTGGGCTGTGGGCACTGCTCCCTGCCTGGGGCCAGCGGCGAAGGGCGTGGGAGTGGGCCGGGCAGCGGGAAAGCCAAAGCAGCCTTGCCCCGAGCCCGGCTGACGCTGCCCGGGCTGCTTCAGCCGGGGGTCCGGGGAGTCCCCCCAAGAGCAAGGCCAGGACCCCCCCACTCCACCCCCACCTCAGGCCTCCCAGCTGCTGGCGGCAGGCCACTCTGCGGGCCTGGGCCCCTCCTCCCGTGGCCCGTGAGCGCTGGGGAGAAGTGCTTTCCCTTCCTCTCCTGAGCCCTCCCTCCCCGCAGCACCGCCTGCCCCCCTCGCTGCAGCTCTGGGTGGAGAATATGGAGCCCTGTGCCCCGTGTGGGCAGCACCCTCAGCCACTGGGACGCCCGCAGCTTCTAAGGGACACGGGCCCCTTAGCAGGAGCGGGTGCGGCCCGGGAGAAGACAGGCTGGGACGGGCTGCACACAGGCTCTGCTCGGCCAGGCCTGCCCGCGCTCAGGCTCCGAAAGACGCTTTCCAGGGACGGAAACGCCACTTGGAAGAGCAGCCAGCATTTGCCGCCCGGAGTCTGTGCCAGCGTCTCAGGCCGTGGGCGACAGTTTGTTTTGTCCTTGAGGTCTAATGATCCATGCTTGGCAGACACTGTTTTTCTCATTAAAAAGGAAAGAAGGAAAAGCAGGCTTGGCCGTGCCGGCTGGGCGGGGGGTGCCCGCGCAGAGAGCACTTGGGGTGGCAGGCACGGAGGGTCGCGCCAGGTGGGGCCGGCAGGTGGGGTGCCCAAGCCAGCAACCGGAAGTCCCCCGTGGGACTGCTAATCCCACCTGGGCTGGGGCCCAATCGCCTCGCTCCCTTTCACTTACTGCCCCTTCCCTCCTGGGATGACCGGGAGGCCACACCACTGTCGCCCCCCCACCCCCCTGCTTGCAGGAGCACCCCCCACGGGGCAGTTCCCCAGAGCGTTGGATCCAGACCCCCAGCTCCGGGTCCCGCGCCCGGCCTGCTGCTCCGGGGGTCTGAGCGTGGGAGCTCGGGCATGCAGCCCCTGTGGGGTCCCCCACAGCCCTCTTGGAAGACTCAGGCATGCCATTGTGTCCCCCCCACTCCCGTCCCCACTGCGTGCAAGTGTCGTCACGTCTCCATGTTCCAGTTCTCTCCTCGGGAGAGTCGGGACGGCTGTGGCAGAACAGGGGTCCCTGTGAGTGGTGGTCTGGGTGCTGCCCCAGCCCACAGCAGGGGGAGGCAATGCTGGCATTGCCTACCCCCCCCACAGCTGCAGGACCCCAGTGATGGGACACAGCCCCCCTTGCCCACGGCCTCCGCTATCTGCAGTAGTTCTGGCGCCCACGGCAGCACCAGGCTTTTCCCAGAAGGGGCAGTTTACGCTCTGAGGCTGGCGTGGGTCCGGGGTTCCCTTGAGCATCCAAGTCCCGCACCCACTTGTAAAGCCAAAGAGCCCCTGGGACGCTCACGGCTCGCTGCATGGAGATCCACACCCTCGCCCTGGGGGTGGCACTGGAGGAGGTGGCATGGGGCTCGTCCCCGGGGTCCAGACTGCGTCCCCCGCCCCATGTTCCTCCCTCAGTGTCCTGAGAGGTGGTCGTCACTGAGACGACGCAGTGGAACGTGGGCAGCTTGGAGGCCAACGCAGGGAAGTTCTCGGGCAGGGGACAGGCCTGGGCAGGGGACCGGAAGGGCTTCCGGGGCCCTCCTCACCCCTGGAGCTCTCGAAAGCTCGGGAGAATGGAGGCCAGAGTGATAGGACAAGGCCCATCCGAGTTTGCTCCCTGCGTCCCCGGTCCCCCGAGCACCCCCAGGAAGGGTCCCAGCACTGCTGGGGTGACCCAGAAACAAAGAACTTGGTTGTTCTCATTCGAAAGTTGTGAAAGTGAAATAAAATCCAGGTGTAAGTCCCCCTCCCCCTTACAGCACCGTGGCCAGGCCAGCGACTGACTGACTGGACTGACTGCCATCTGCCCTCGGACATGCACAGCCTGGAGGCGGCCTTGGGGACATCGCGAACTCCAGGTCGGAAGTCCTGGCCTCTCTGAGCATTGGGTCATATTGATGTATAAAGTGTAGTCAGTACTAATGCGTCTTCAGGGAACCTGGGGGCCGATGGATCGATCCCGGTGGTTTAGGCTGGTGTCCTGCCCTTAGCCGGGTCTGATTCTCATCAACATATTGGTGGGGGGGGGAGGGCCCAGGGTATCAGAGGGGCCAGGCCATCCACGTGACTGTGGCCCTCTGAGGGCATTGGGGGCCCACAGGCAGGCCTCTGCTGCAGGGCGAGGGGGCTGGGGGGCTGTAGGGGCCCAGCGCGGTGAGGGAGGGGCTGCCCAGGCCGCAGCTGCGGCTGTTTCCTGTTCCCAGCAGCTGTTCCCTCTGCCGGCAGCCCGCAGTGCCCAGATGGCCTCCCGGCACCCCGAGCCCGGCTGACTCAGCCAGCCTGGAGGGCAGGTCTGCGCCCGCGTCCCTGCGTCCCAGCGTTCCAGCGTCCCAGCATCCCTTCCTCCCTCAGCCTCGGGCTCTCGGGCCCCCACCCGCTGCCGCTTCCCCCCTGCCCAGATGCTGCTTCTGCTGGTCTGGGTGGTCCCAGTCTCTGCAGGCTGGGCAGGGGGCTGGGGGGGAGAGAGGGAGAGACGCGGGGAGCAGAGCCAGGACCTGGCTGGCTCTGAGGGACTGTCGGGGGCTACAGTCAGTTCCTCCCACAGCAGGGATCGTGGTGGGCCTGTCCCGGGCCCAGCTGCCCCCTCCCCAGGGCAGGAGCTCTCCCCCACTCCACTCCCTGTCAGGCCCCGCAGCCGGGTGCCGTGCTCATGGCATGGGGCCCATCTTCCCGCCTCTCAGTCTGGTTCTAGAGCTTTCTCCCCCGTGGCATCGGGGGTCCCACGCACAGCAGGAAGGACAGCTAGGTGGACAAGGGAACACGGGCCAAGGCAATAGTGAGGGCACGGACTGATCTTGGGGAGTTTCATGGGGGGGGGGACAGCCACCTGGTGGGCAGCTCTTTTCTCCTGACCCCTGTCCTGGCGAGCCTGCTCCCTGCTGCTCCCCGCCCCTTTCCTGGGGAGCCCCACCCTGCACCCTCATCCCCAGCCCCCTCTGTGTGAGGCAGATTTGGCTCACCCCGCCCCCCCACCTGCACTGTGGACCCCTCCCCGCTGCCCCCAGCGACTGAGGCTCC